ATCAGATAGTGACTGTTACAGAGGATTATCCTTTAAAGTGATAGAAACGTTAGCATTTCTGTCCGTGTGCTTGTGGAGTGGCTGAAAACTGAGCAACACCGAAGGAGAGAGAACAATAACAGGCCGAGTGAAGGAATGCTCCGGCCCCGTCTGCTTCTCTCGTTCCGTCTCACACGGCTGCTCGGGGTTGTTGTTTTTTTAAAAAGAAATCTGACTCCTCCCTCCTTTCCTCTCCTCCTTCTGTGTGGGAAAAAAAAAAAAAAGCCATCTGAAGTTACCGCTCGGGAGTTGCCCGCCCTTAAAGCGAGAACATGTGTGTGAGGGCTTTGAATGATGCTTTCTCTGAATGCACACACACACACAAGCACACACACACACACACACTCACACACACACACACACACACACACACACAGACACACACACACACACACATTTATACGTGTTTTCAGTATATGTAAGGACGTAAAATGGAAATAAACCAAATGGGGACGTGCCTTTCCAAAGGTTCTACAGGTCTGAAAATCCCAGAGTTTCCTATCAATGCATTCAGAAAAGCATTAGTCTATTGAGATTTTAGCAAGAGCAAACACACACACACACACACACACATACACACACACACAGGCACACACACATATATACGTGTTTTCAGTATATGTAAGGACGTAAAATGGAAATAAACCAAATGGGGACGTGCGTTTCCAAAGGTTCTACAGGTCTGAGAATCCTAGAGTTTCCTATCAATGCATTCAGGAAAGCATTCCTTTATTGAGATTTTAGCTAGAGCACACACACATACAGACACACACACACACATACGTGTTTTCAGTATATATAAGGACGTAAGACGGAAATAGGCCAAATGGGGACGTGCCTTTCCAAAGGTTCCACAGGTCTGAGAATCCCAGAGTTTCCTATCAATGCATTCAGAAAAACATTCTTCTATTGAGATTTTAGCTAGAGCACAAACACACACACACTCACACACACACACACACACACACACACACACACACACACACACACACATCTGCTCTGTTGTGATTATGCTGATGGACTCCTTTCAGTCACACAGTTGAGCCATATGTCAGATGCCTGTCTGTGTGTGTGTGTGTGTGTGTGTGTGTGTGTGTGTGTGTGTGTGTGT